CTCAGGGAGTGCGAAACTCCCTTTTGCTTGTTGGTCATGATATCCCCCTTACCTTAAAAGGGAGGGGTGGGGAGTCCCACAATTCCATGCATTCAGTTTTCCCCACAAAAGGGCAAATGGAACCCTAAATGGAATTCCAGGGGTCACCCCCCTCACCCAATTCCATTTTGAAGTGGGGTGGGGATGTCACGATCCACCGCCGGGTCCGGGCCACCGCTCCTCCTGCAATCCAATGGCTGCCAACACCAAATCCGCCGCAACGTTCCCGTCGAAGGGAGCGTGCTCCTTCGTCCCCTCGGACTCCTCGGTCTTCGGCTCCTCCCAAGCAGGAGGGTAGAAGAAGAGGAGAAAAAAAAAAAAAAAACGAGCTGTGGGGTAAACACTTTGAAGCCATGGGGTAAACAAGTACACACCACACAGGCAGAGGTGGGGAGAGGGGGATTGTTACTAGGGCCTCCAGTCGAGAGGTTAGGGTTTAGGGTACCAACTTTTTTCAGGACGTCTATTTTAGTAGGGGAACCCTCCCAACCAAGAAAGGGTGAGAATGGGCACTACTGGGGGACCTAGGTAGAAGAAGAAGAAGAGAAACAACAAAACATGGATGGTTGCAAAATCCATGTCGCACCACTTTGAAACCATGGACGACCATTGTTTGTCGGCAGTTACAGGGGAATCATCATTCCAGGGTTTCTGAACAGTGGTGCAGGAGTTCGTCCATCCACAGTAAGTCCAAGAGTGATAGACTCCGATAAATACCGTCTGTTGGTGTCCTTTCAGGAACAAGGGTCTCACTTTTTGAACCAATTTGCCCCACCCGGATAAACACAAAGGGCGCCACACCACAAGTTGGCTGGAAGGCGCTGTATACCTCGAAAAGGCGAGGAAAAAGGCACGCCCTTCTTGAGGTTTGGGGGGAAGCCAAGATTCAAAGAGCCCTCCTTGTTGGGCGGACTCCCTCTTCCTTTGAACTGAAACTCCCTCAACCTGGACCCCCAAAGGTCCTCCCAGACTTTCAGAGGTCAATTGGGAATGGACGCCCTCTCCTGAAGTTGACGCATATATTTTGAACCAACCTCCACCCCCAAAAACACAAACCATTAGGGAGTCCTCCTAGTTCCCCAAAGAAAAGCACTGGAAATCTGCCTCGCAGACACACTTTCCCTCTGAAAAATTCGCACCTCCCTTTTGGCTTGCCTTGTCACCCCCTGGCGAGACCCCTCTGCGAAAAGTGTTCAACGTGTCGCGGGTCCAATGGGGAAAATCCGAACACTGTTTCCCATTTCTCTTTAAAAAAAGAAAAGAAAGAAACAACACACATCCCCAAATCGCCATCTGCAGCTTGGGGTAAACCCACATGGCCCTCTGAAGCGAACCCCCCCCCCCCCAGCAGCTGACTGGAGCTCCCACAGCTAATAAGTGATGGATGATTGGGTACATATTGTGCCGTTGTTCAACATGATGTACAACATGGATGCCCTTTCCATAGCGGCGCCCAGCTTCCCCTTTTTTGCCACATTCTTGTTTTCCCGAACTGGCCCTCAGCTTGAAACGAACGAACCCCCCCCCCCAACCCTCCAACCCCCCCCCCCCGGCAGCTGAGTGACTACTCGCTTCGCGCCTCCGCCAGCTTGGGGAAGCGCTTCAAGATCGCCTCCTCCGTGAGCTCTGGGCCCAGCGTTACGTTCTCCCCCGACTCGTCCAGCACTTGGCCCAGCGGCGCCTCGTCTGGCGCGTCTGGCGCGTCTGGCGCGTCTGGCGCTGGGGGAATGGGGGAAGGACCACGCGCCCCCTGGGTGGCGTAAGACCACAATGACGTTCCCAGACGGCACAACCCGCACAAGCTCTATGATTTTATGTAATGGGTATATATAGGGCATGGAATGGACCAGAAACTTGCGATTGGTGCGATAGGTAGGGAATGACCGAGGTAGGGTGTCGGGAACCCCCGCCCACCCAAACACCCCGAAAAATTTCATCGGCAGCTACTCGGAGTTGGAGGGGGGGATCCAGTGAGCGCCCTGCCTGGCTTTGCTCCTGTGGGTAGCCGCCAGCAGGCTTCGCACCTCTGACTGGTCGAACAATGCCATTCGCCATGCGCCAGTGGTACGGGGTGGCTTCAAGAGGAAGTAGATCTTGATCAACTTCCAAGTACCCTCTCGCAGGGCCTTCTATTAGTGGGAGGAAGGGGTAGCCTTGTGATTGTTTTTTTGCGCGCCCCAGCACAGAAGAAGCCTCCCCCAGCAGCCTCGGACCCGCCCAAAAACCACCCCGAGCGAGCCCATCTGGGCCTATCGACCTCCAAAATGCTTTCTGCTGCTGGGGACGAAAAGGTAACGACCCCTGTGCAACAGTTCAGCTTCTTGCAGCAAGGTTCTTTACTTTAGCAGAGATCCTTACATTCTACACCTGAACTTTGCAACTTGTAAATGGTGGGTTCCCTTTCTGTTGGCGTTGAAAAAGCCACATGTTTCAAATGGCGACAAAATGGGTCGATCTTTCAAGGAGCCCTGCTGAATGTTGACTTCGGATTCCGGATGGTACTAACCAGGTGGTTCCATTTCGAGTAAGGATCAATCTAATTCGGTGACTCCTCTGATCAGTGGGTCCTCCGGAGTGACATTAGAGTGACATTACCCGCCTTTCGTCCTCTTGGTTGCGTTCCCTCTTTTGACAAAACCTCATGCTGGATTTTAGTGAATCCCAAGCTGATTCTTTGTTTGTTAGCATTCTGTCGAAAAGGTTCGTGAGTGCGATGACAGCTTTATTGCCCGCAGTCCCAGCTCTTTGAAAATGAAGGCATCCCTCCAAAGCGGGATTCTGCACAGTCAAGTCCTGTTTTAGTGGTGCAAAGGAGGTTCCTGGAGACAAACCCGTCTTCACTGTCCATTCCAACTGAAACACAAAAGGGGAAGCCACCAGCAAGCTCAGCGATCGATGCCGGGTGGCCGCAGCAGTGCTTTGCGCCGGAGCCTCTCGATGGCCAACAAAGGGGCAGGGGCTCAGGTTGGTTCATGGGGGGGGACTTGATGTACAAACAATAATGGGGGGGGGGTTGTGTTTTTTGGGGAGGGAGGGGGCGTTGATTGTTTGGGGGCCGTTTTTTTTTTTTTTTTTGGGGGGGGGGGGGTGTTCTTTGGGGAGGGAGGGGGCGTAATTGTTTGGGGCCGGGTGTTGGTTTGGGGGGGGGTAGAGAACCGGAGCCCTCTTTGGGGTTGGCCAAGTTGAGCGCCGAAGATAGATTTCGATGCGGAATGGCTCTGAGCTACCTTCAGAGCCCTTCTTGAAGCTTTAACGAACACCTGGAATTGGCCACGAGTTGATGTCTACCGACAGGACTAGTCTTGGGAAACCCCGGTTTCAGCAGCTAAAGAAACAACTCACTTCAAGTTGGCAACCATGATGTTTCTTGGTGACTCTTGAGATGGCCTAGCCCGGAAAATGATTCATGAAATGGCCTCCTAGGTACATATCGTGTACCTAGTTACATATCATGTATGGGGTTGTCTCAAACGCATGGGACCCCAAAATCGTTTCGCTTGGGTGTCCCTTTGACCTTTGAGTCAACCCAACACAGGGTGCCAAACTTTGACAAATGACGCCCTCATAAACCCCCCTCTCCCTCATGCTTGGATGGTCATATCCCATTGGGAGACAAACCCAGCCAAGTTCAAAATCCTCATACGGTCAAAGGTCGCCTTTGAAGGGTTCCATCCCAAATGGGTCCCGATTTCCCCTCACAAGCACAGCTCAATTTCCGGGCCCGGCCAATGTCTCTCCTTACACAAAAAGACAGCGTTCTTTTGCAGGCAAAGAGAATCTAAGAGCACTTCAAAAGGAGGCCTCTTTCAGGGGAAGTTGCCCTGTTCATTTGGGGGGGGGGGAAGACACGTTCAAAGGCTCAACCAACATCTCTCATCGCAAGAATAATCAATGTTCAAGGGACCTTCATGGTGGAAACGTTTAAGTTGAATCCCCCCCCCCCCGAATCAGAATCGGTGCTTTTAGACAGAAATGTTGGACCCCCACCTCAGGCCTTGGTTCCCACTTTCAACCAAAACGATATCTCCAAAAAAAGGCACGCCCATCAACCCAACCCGAAAAATATCGGGGATCCCCGGAAGGAAAGTCCCAACCCCCCCCAAAAAAAAAAAACAAATCGCATAAGTAAGAAGGGCTCAAACACTCCGGAGAACAAACACCCAGGTCCGAACCCCCCGCCCTGCTGGTGAAGGAATTTTGGGCCCCCGGCCCTCCGCACGGCGCAGGATGTCCAGGCACGCGCCCGCGTCCATGGCCGGAGATCACGCCGCTTTTTTTCTGGAAAGGTTCGGATCGAAACGAGAGAAAAACGGGGCCTGGACTCAGACAACCCCAAAATGGCTTGAAACGAAACAAGACTGGAGCCACAATCCCATGTTTGAACATGGAAACAAGTCAAACTGAGCTTGGGTCTTCCCATGTTTCATGTGCAAATGTACCACAGATGTATAACTCTTCTTGCATATGAAGCCTGTCGGTTTGATTCGCGGGCGAATCCCCACATCCTCTGTGGAAACCAACGGCTTGGAGCGCCCCTGATGACACAAACACCCTTCCACAGAGATCCACCCAACGACCCCCGGATAGGTCTAAGGGAAGGCCAACCGAGGCATGGGCGCGCTTGGGGGAGTCGTTGGGTGGGGCATGCTGCCTTAGGGCCACGAGGGGAGTCATTGCAGCCCAACAACTATTGCCGGGTCAAAGGATTGACTTTCCCATGGCGCCTTGCTGCTCTGAATCCACATTCCACTGTTGGGTGTTCAAGTTACTAGCAAGTAGGCAACCATGGAAACTTCCCGGCCCAACCCCAGCCGCCCCAGTTATTATCATGGTTAGAACCTACTTACTAAGTTGCTACACCCAAGTAAGCCTGACCCCTCCAGAACAACAACAAAAAAACGGATCCCAAAGCCTTAGGGTCCTGAGAAAAAAAAGAGAAGAAAAACAACTGAGGCCGGCGCCAGAGCGCGAAGAGCACTCCGAACTCCGACTTGGGGTCAGGCCTCAAGGAGAGTTATTCTCCTGTTACGGAGGAGATGTTGTTCCATGTCAAGCTGCGAGAATGACACCAAAAATTGGGCAACAAAATGACCAAAACAAGTGCTGGTTCGTCCTGGTTGGGCCACCAAAACGCCCTCCCTCCAACAATCGGTGGGTTCCAACGAATCCACTCCAGCTTTTGCGAGCCAAACATCATATATTGATTCTCTGGGCAGTGAAGCTTGTACACGATGTCAAAAGAGATCTCAGATATGGGCAAGTGTTTATTTGGTCGGACCTTTTGCCGGATATCATTCACACGAGTCAAGGTGTCCGTCGTGCAAGTTTGAGGTGCTCCCGGAACTTCGCAGCCACGTGGGTGCTTGAGAAAGTCTCGTCAAATTCTGAGGGTACCTTTCCCATTCTTTCTAGGGATCTTTTTTTTGTAGAAAACCTCGGGAAACGGCTGGTTGTTGACAAGAACGATGGTTGAAAAGAATGGAATTGGAATCAGCCCCTAGAAAAATGACTCGGGTTCCTCTCGGCAGACCTCCGAAAGAACGGGCGCGGGGTGTGGGGTGTGGGATACGGGGTGCGAGAGCCGGAGTCAGAAAGGCGAAAAGGAGGCCAATGGATCCGACACCCAAGTTCACATTGCAAAGAGGAACCTCCTAGGGCCTCCTAAAAAGCGACCCTGTGTCCAGTAATTTTCATGGAACCCGCCACAAGGCCCTTCTTCAAGACAAAAATCGGCTAAACCAGGACTCCTTTTCGTGAGGTTCCCTGTGGACAGGTCCACATGTGGTCACCACAGATCCACAGATCAGAGCGAGTGCCGCGGATCTAAGGCGCAGGCGTCTTCATCTCGCAGTCTTTCTGGCACAGGCTTACAGGCTCGGGAGAGAAGGCTCCCGCAAGTGGGCTCGATGTTGCGAGACTGTGAAACGAGTCAAAACACCCCGTTACTTGGGGTAGGGATATGGACTTCAAACCAAGACATGTTTTGAACAACCGTCATACATCATACATCATGCATGTGTATATATATATATATGTATTAATCTCTATATATATATATATAATAATATAAATATATATATATATAGACATTTGTATAGCTACGCTGTTCTGAAGGCGATCATGATCCTGCCCGCATAAGGAATTTCGACCATGGCACATATGAGGAACACTGTCGGCTTCAACATTCTGGGCTTAAAAAAAAAAAGGAAACGCAAAACGCGAGTGCGCAAACCGCCGAGTTGGCAAGCCTGAGATACTGAGGGCAAGTAATTCGTTGAGCAAGGCGGGAACCAGCACAGGCAATGCTTGTGGACAGCGACGGGGGGCCATCAAGCGTACAACATTGCGTGAACAGGCCTGCCGAGGAACCTCAATCCCGTACCTGCTCGGCCCGCCTTCCCCCCCCCAGGATTCGTAAGCATACTGTAGATGGACGACATCCTGCACCACTTCGAAACCATGGCTGAAACGATTGCTTGGTTTTCCCGAAAGCATGGCGAAGGGTTCTTCCGCTGGTTCACTTGAGTTGTTCTCATGAGAGTCATTACAAGGTGTCATTGCAAGGAATCATCATCATGAAAGTCATTGTCATTGGAAGGCAAAGTCATTGGAGTCATGGCAGGAGTCATTGCAAGGAGTCATGTCATTCATTGCAGGAGTCAGGAAGGCAAAGGAAGTCATTGCAAGGAGTCATTGCAAGGAGTCATTGCAAGGAGTCATGCAAGCAAGGATTACAACTTGCACTTGACTTGCCTTGTTGCACTTGCACTTGCACTTGACTTGCACTTGACTGCACTTGGCTCCTTGCATGCACTTGCAACTTGCTCTCATGACTCCTTGCAATGACTCCTTGCAATGACTCCTTGCAATGACTCCTTGCAATGACTCCTTGCAATGACTCCTTGCAATGACTCCTTGCAATGACTCCTTGCAATGACTCCTTGCAATGACTCCTTGCAATGACTCCTTGCAATGAATGACTCCTTGCAATGACTCCTTGCAATGACTCCTTGCAATGACTCCTTGCAATGACATGACTCCTTGCAATGACTCTTGCAATGACTCCTTGCAATGACTCCTTGCAATGACTCCTTGAAACAAGCAAGGAGTCAAGTGCAAGTTGCAAGTGCAAGGAGTCAAGTGCAATTGACTTGCGAGGAGTTAAAATCTCTTCTTAGGGCGGCGGGGTAGCCGACGACACTACACGAAAATCGACCCTCTGCGGGGATCGGCGTGGTCGAGGTGCAAAAACCCATGGTTTTTTGCGATGTTTAACCTGCTCGCGCGACCCTCTGCGGGGATCGGCGTGGTCGAGGTGCAAAAACCCATGGTTTTTTGCGATTTCTGCGCTGCTCGCGCGACCCTCTGCGGGGATCGGCGTGGTCGAGGTGCAAAAACCCATGGTTTTTTGCGATTTCTGCGGTGCTCGCGCGACCCTCTGCGGGGATCGGCGTGGTCGAGGTGCAAAAACCCATGGTTTTTTGCGATTTTAACCTGCTCGCGCGACCCTCTGCGGGGATCGGCGTGGTCGAGGTGCAAAAACCCATGGTTTTTTGCGATGTTTAACCTGCTCGCGCGACCCTCTGCGGGGATCGGCGTGGTCGAGGTGCAAAAACTCGAGGTTTTTTGCGATTTCTGCGGTGCTCGCGCAACCCTCTGCGGGGATCGGCGTGGTCGAGGTGCAAAAACTCGAGGTTTTTTGCGACTTTTGTTGTTCGAACTGGTCCTCGGGAGTTGTCTCGTGGTTCGCGCGCCTGCTCCCGGAACCGGCGGGTCGCGGGTTCGATTCCTCCCTGGTCCGCGGGCGGGCGTCGCAAGATGCAACTTGCATTTTAAAGCAACTTGCGCAGAGCAACTTGCGCAGAGCAAGTTGCACAGAGCAACTTGCGCAGACCAACTTGCACCGACCAGTTTGCGCAGAGCGCCTTGCCTAGAGCAACTTGCGCAGAGCAACTTACGCAGAGCAACTTGCACAGAGCAACTTGCACAGAGCAGCTTGCACAGAGCAACTTGCAGGGAGCGCAATTTGCACAGAGCAACTTGCAGGGAGCCACTTGCACCAACTTGCCGGAGCAACTTGCGCGGAGCAACTTGCGCAGAGCAACTTGCACAGTGCAACTTGCGTAGAGCAACTTGCGCAGACCAACTTGCACCGACCAGTTTGCGCAGAGCACCTTGCCTGGTGCTGTCTCGCGCTTGCTTCACAAATGCTTCGTGTAGGGAAAAAGAACGCATCCTGCAGCGTTGGGCCGACCTCGCTTGCGATGTTCTGCTTTCGGGCCAACCGTGGTCTAGTTTTACAGGGGAATCCTCAGAAATCAGGGAACCAGGCTTTCTGGACGGCGCTGCGAAATGGAATTTGCCACCCTCGGTAGCTTGGGGCCTCAGCAGCTGACTTTTCCTACCCAAGCGACCGCTTCGAGCGCTCGGCGCCGCGCCCCCAGCCAGAGCTTATCACCCGCTTCCGGGCAGGTGGACAACAGCACGCCCACCGCAAAGCCTCGGCCGGCGGCGGGTCAAACAACCAGCTGCCGGTCTAGTCCTTCCGAGGCTTCCAAATACATTTCGGTTGGGTATGGGCCAAAATGAAACCACCAGCATCGGTTGGGTCCTTTCCGTTTATGGGGCCTCCAAACTTGGGCATCCTTCTCCCACAAGCCGTCGCATTTCTGGGGTACCTAGATCAAACCAGCGTGTGAGAGCCCGGGCCGCTGATCACCCCGACGCTCATGAAGAAGAAGAGCCACCGGGACCTCAGGTTGCTGGCTCATACGCAGAGCAAAATAAAATTGCCAAAAGAATGCTTACATAGACTCAGCTTGGCGGATTAAAGCATGACATGAACACCGAGTCACTCTCAGGGAATCTGTTCATATTAAGCGTCTTTGTTGGTTTTATAAAATATAGTTTAAAGAGAGCGAGACTTTGTGTGCAACCCAATTTTTAGTGTTTAGCTTGTTTAAACACCTAATAAACAAACTAGACAATAACTGTGATCAGTGGTTGACTGGACAACTGGCCGGACAAAAGCCATCACCTCAGCCCTCGCGATCTCTCTCAGGCGAGGTGCCTGCGCCCATACGTCTCAGATCAGAAACCCCGGGACGCAACGGGATCCAGATCCCTTGGGGGAAAATGTCATCCCCTAGAAACTGCCAGGCTGTGGGTGAAAATCCAACATGGAGCTAGATGAAAATCCACCAACATGGAACTTTGGTAACTGGAAAGCACTGAATCCTGCGGTCCAACCCCGACCTCGGCCGCCGCGCCAGCAGGGGCACTTCCGTGCGATGCCGCCGCAGCGCCGCGTCTTCGCCTCGAAGGAATGAACTCAATTCGTGTTCCTTTGAATACCAACCGACAGTGATTGCTCTTTGATTTCAATACCAACCAACACTTGAATCTATTTCAATACCAAGCAGCAGTGTTTGCGTTCAAATCAAAGACCAACAGCGATTTTCTGAGCAGCTGGTCCACTAGGCGCTGCTTCTTCGGTGCCCGGCCGTCATCTTCTTGGCGGACAAATCCTCCATGTGCAGCTTCCGCACGTGGCTCAAAGAGCGCTTCACGAAGAACATGAAGATCCCCTTGGCCGAGTCCGTCGATGGGCTTCGGGGCTTGGATCCCCAATCCTGAGTTGGACTTTGTCTAATGTTGACTTGTGCTTTTGGTTTGTTTGTTTGCTTGTTTGTTTGTTTGTTTGTAGGGGGGGAGGGGGATGGGGGGAACCAACTACTCTACAATATCCCCCAACCTTGTGGGAGGGCGTTCTCCATGAAAATGTATGCTAATGGCCAAAATGAGGCTGCGATGGCTTGCTATGGCTTTAACATCGGCACAGAAATGTTCAGCTACTTGGCTGTGGCGCTCTTCGGTTCGGCTCGAGTGGAAAATTTAGACAGACGTGTGTATCAAGTAGCTGGACCCTCAAACCACCGAAAAGATTGGAAATCACCCCAGCAGCGTGGCGCGACATCCACATTTAGGGTAGTTTGAAGTCCAGGTAGGATTGGGCGAGTCAAGCCCCGTTGCTTGCAAATCTCAGGGCCTGGTTGCTTTGATGAATCCTATGTTCATGGGAAATTAAGACCGCCGTTCTATCCGAAAGCTCAAGAACGTATTGAAGGCGGTGCTGGTAGCTATCCCCCGGTATGCCCTTTACATGGCCAGAGTGCTTGGTTCTAGTTGACAGCTTGACCTGCCGGTTTTTTGTCATCGACACCCGGTTCAACACGAAGCCTAGGATGATTGTCCAAAGGTGCCCTTTTGGGAGAACGGCCCTGGTAGGTGATGAAACAAACCAGGTCAACCAGGATTCGCCATTCTCTGTCGTCGGATTTTGCAGCGGACTGCCGAAACATGACAGAGCCCAGCTGTCGCAGCTGTTTCGTGCTTCTTCCAGGCATCTAGGGGGGGTATTTCTTCTTTCCCCTGGTTTTTGAAACTTTTGTGCGATCTTAACATGCAACCTGATGCAAAATGTGCGATGCCCGGAGTGCCCTAAAGTTCCGCAATCCACCCCAAGGTGAAAGAACTACAAGGGCGGACCTTGGCCGCCTCAGCTTTTGAAAATGCGAGAATGCCCCCTGAGTGAAAAACAAACGCGCGGACCCGTTACCGTTGGCTGATCGCAGTGTAAACAAACTGGGCACTGAAATGACTACGACTCATGTCCCTCAGCCCCCGGACGGAGGCTGCAGCAAAGATGCCCGTCATCTGGGCAGGGTGGGACTGTTGAAAGCAGTCTGAGCGCTTTGCTCCAAAGTGACCAACCAAATGCTCGTGAACCTTCGGCCATACCAAAGGATGCTATCCGAACATGAATCGGCATTCAAACCAACCTCTGGAATGGCCTCCTGGCCAATGCTGATTAACCCTGCCACCTTTAATCTTGGGGTGCCTTACACGTTGCACCCCGACCCAAACCTGCGTTCCGGACCGTCCCTTCCGATATCTACGGCCACTGGTGGTTTCCAAGGGGAGTGGGTTCCCCAAATTTAATCTGGGTTGTCCGTTGTCTGATCCCCTGTTGAAAGTGACTAGCTTTTCAGTGGGTGAAATTCGGAACCCAACCACTAAACCAACTAAAAGCAACCAAAACCCACAACCTTCTCGCGGTTCTGATCCAAGGGTGGTCTGACTTTTCATTGGAGACCCCCAGTAGACATCATTCCAACCATGAAAAGTTAATGAAAAGTCATAGCCAGTCGGTGAGGGAGTGGGCCGCAAGCGCTTGCGCGTTGGCTTCGCGACCCTTGCCTTCCATGGAGACCTTTGTATTAATCCAAATCACCAACTCGCTTGGGTGCTGCTGACCCCTCTGCAAAAGTTTATCTTTTTGTGGGTCCAACCAAGCAGTCAAAGTCCCAAGATCCAACCACATAGCCACAAAACTAGGGGGTTAGTCTCAACCTCCCAAAAAATTGGGGCACCGCGCCAGCATGGCGGCAAAGCCGGCCGGGCAAACACTAGCATACCTCCGACATTCGTCCAGTTGGGACCGAATCGAAGAAACAAAAAAAACGGCCCTTACAAATGGACGCTGCCTCCAAAAAAGTAGGGCAATGGCCCCAATTGTTTAACGAGGCCAGCTGCTGCCTTGCTATTGTAGCAACTGTCCCGTACCGTGGCTGGACATTTAGCGGCAACTTGGCTAGCTAGGGTACAGGTCAATACGAAAATTGCTGGGTACACATCAACGGACCTTTCCCTCCACCCTCACGCCCCCCACCCCCCGCCCCTCCCAAACCATCGTCCTGGCAGGGATTTGCTGAAGATTTTGTCCGAAAAGAATTTCGGATGCTTGGGTTCTGCTTTAGGCTCAGGTTCCTTTAGGTTGCGGGGAGCGATGAAAGCTTTGACGACGGAGCTTTCCATCTCGCTGCATGCAGAGCTGGGTCGGGGGCGCGGCCGTGTGAATGGGTGGCGCACGAGGCTGGGCCGTGCGGCGAGGCTTGGTTTAAGAGTGCACAATGGGTGCGCGAGACAGCCATGGTCGCAGGACGGCCGTGTGGCGCAGAAATGGGCGCACGACGCTGGGTCGGAGGCTGGGCCGGGACGGCTTTGTGGCGCAGAGGGGTGCGCGAGGCTTGCAATGGGGCGCGAGGCTGGGTCGCGAGTCAAGTTTAATGGCTGTGTGCGAGTCACGGCGGTGTGAGGGTTTGAGGTTTAGGGCTTAGGGTTGTGGAGGTAGGGTGGATGAGGGTTGGATGGATGGATGGATGGATGGATGGATGGGTGGATGGGTGGATGGGTGGATGGATGGCTGGCTGGCTGAGGAAAAAAGGCTGTGAGGCTGTTGTGCCATCCTTATGTGCCAGTGCGGCCTCTGTGGGTCTGAGCCTACCCATGTGAGCCACCAGTCCTTCGCGCCTTTTCTCGAGATTTGAGGGCTCGGCCGTACAGGTGCGTGAGGCTGGGTTGGGTGACGCAGGCCGTGTGGTGCGCCCTGCCTGTCTGCCTGTCTGCCTGCCTGCTTGCCTGGTGGCGCAGAACGGGCGCTTGATGGCCGTGGTGCACAATGGGTGTGCGAGGCTGGGTCAGGGGATGGCCGTGTAACGACGGTGCGCGCGAGGCTGGTCATGGGTGTGTGAGGCTGAAGGTGCAGAATGGAAGCCTAACATTTGTGGGTTCTAGACTGTCTGCTTTTTTGGAATGATGGAATCTGCGGCTCAACGCCGGAGAGACAGTGTAAGGGAAGATGTTGTTCTAGAGTCTCCTGTTTTTTTCAGAGAAGGCCGCTAGAATGGTGGAATCTGGGAGGGCCGGAGCAGCAGCGTTTCATAACCCCCGGCTCCCCAAGCTCAGTAGCTGCGACGCTGGGCTGCTGGCAGAGAAGACGGAAGAAGTATGGAACATCGCGGCAACGGCTTTGGTTCAGCAATCTCAAAACCCGTCAAGGCCATCCTCGCAGAGCAAAACGTACTACCCGTCAGGGTCACAACGATTGTAGCTGCAAAGATGCCAAAGGCGTAGCCCAATATTCAGTCATGGACTCGTCTTCTTCGTGCATGTCACTAAGGCACAGAACGCCGCTTCTGCAGCTGGTTCGCTTACGTGCTTGCCGAGAAGCGTGCGGGCGCCGGTCTGACACATATAAGCTCACAACTCCAAGAACACACACACACACACACACACGCAACTAGCATTTAAGGGGGTTTCAGGCAAGCTGCAGGAACTTCCTAACTAGGAAATGAGACCTGGAGATCCGTCTTGCTTGCTTCGCGGAAACAAAGGAGCTCGACGGCCCCACACTCGACGGGCACCATGAGGTACCGTCCACCCAACACGACTTTCCCATTACCATGAAAACGTCGCCCTCTGCGACCGGGGATGTCTTGCGCCACGATGTCGTCGACGACCGCAGAGAAGTGACCCCCTTTGCAACGATGAAGCAACTCGGGGCCTGTGCAAGACTTTGCAAGTTGGAAACGCGAAAAACCAGGCCCCGAAAGACCCCAGCCTGTATAATAGGGGCTCGCGTGCAAGCGGGATCCTGCAAATGGGCGCACGAGCTGATTCATAGCAATCCCGCGCCGCGTGCGATAGTAATCTATGATCTGGAAGGCAATGGTCTCGATCTCGTTTAGTTGCGGCGGGAGTCCCAAGTCCTCCTGATTCGTTGCGCACACAGGGACAATGAGACAATACGCTTTCTATTGATTTCTGCCGGTGCCGAAGCGGCTGGGAGAAGACGGTTGCACCTGCAAGGGCAAGTGAAGTCTTTTGTTTGAAGGGAAGCTAAGAAAGGAATGCTGAAAGCGCGCTGCCAATGACAGACGAGCCCATATCAAGATTGTATTTAATCTCGGCTTCCTCTTCTTGCATATCAGCCCAGGCGGTGCGGCCACTCTGGACTCGTCTTCCAAAGAGAACCTCAGCAATGATGGCTCGCGAGCAACTAGAAACCAAGCCAACAAACTATGATTGCTGAAACAACTTCAACAAGATACAGCTTCGCTCACAGGGCCCACGTCATTCTGAGTTGGAGCAGCCTTAGCAACGTGTCAAGCAGCAGCCTTGAGACATCATGCTCGAGGGTAGGAAACAAAGGCGCTGAGACATGAACTGGCGGCCAAGGCTCAGTTGCAGACTCCCGCGCAGCGCTGCTAACAAAGGCGCGAAGAAAACTTGCAACGAGACCGGTTGAAACGTGCAAAGTGGCGGTTGTGGCCAAATTCGGTTATTTGCGTCACTCGCCCACGCAATCATAACTTACGGCCCACGCATGCCTGTGCTCCTGGAACTTCAGCCCTCATTATCCAAGACCGTCAGGGAACGTCAACGTTTGTACAGTAGCCGCCCAGTTTCCCAGCCTCCCAGCTCCGCGGTTCCTGATTTCCCGGCTTCCCGGTTTCCCATCCCGGTTTGCCGGTTTTTCAGTTTTTCAGTTTCCCAGTTTCCCGTTTCCCGGCTCGCAGTTCCCGGTTTCCCGGTTTCCCGTTTCCCCGGTGCGCCAATTTCACGGGTTCCCGGTGTGGTTTCCCGGTTTCCCGGTTCACGGTCGACTTTGTGGGTTTTGGAGTCCCTGTGTCTTTGAAAAAAGGGGGACTCTACGAAAGGGTGCGCGAGGCTGGGTGGGGGAAAGCTGAGTGTGGTGCAGAATAGGTGCGCCAGGCTGGCTGTAGAATGATGGGAAGGAGGGCCCTAATTAGCATGAAATAATCTGGGCCCTGCTTTTAGGGCCGTTCCTCCTTGCCCAGTATCGCATACACTTCTAAGAGGTTCGCATGTGTCACAACCGACAACACCATTACAACACGTTTTCAGAAAGGTCTCAGCTGGTTGAACTCACGCGTTCCTTCACAAGTGAGACTTGGATCTTCTTACCTTGAAGGTACCTTCACCTTTCTTGTCAAGCTCTTTGGCACCAGCGGGCATTTCGTCAAACAAAGCACCGATGGTTTGTGTCCAGCCCTGCCACCAGAAAGGCGGATCGAGTTGGTCCTGCAGAGCTGCACTTTCGGACTCTCTTTTTTTCCCGGCGGTGTTCCGAAATTTTGGGGTCGCCGGGCTCCGCTTGTTTTCCGGCCTAGACACGGAACCAAAATATGGGTGTGGCTCAACATTAAACAGGAGGGGCTACGCAGGCATTTTGGTCCATGTGTCCACTTGCCAGGGTCCCATTTTAGGTACCGGCTTTTTGAGCCACGGCCATATCATTTGTACCTAGATAGCCAAGTGGCGATCGCTTTTTGTCAGTCACTGTTGCGATCGGTTTTTGGGGTAAAGTGCATGGAAAAAAGCAGCAACTGGCGATCCAGGTAGAGCAATCTCCCTTCAGAGATTCTTATTGGGCTCCATGTCAACCCCGGAGAAACTCACAACACAATATTCTAGGGGTTGATTCCAATTCCATTCTTTTCAACCTTCGTTCTTTCCACAAACCGGATCCGTTTTCCCTCGGTTTCCAGAGGTTTTCTAGAAATAATTATCCCTGGAAAGAATGGGGAAGGTATCCCTAGAGATATGCGTCATAACCACGATTTCTTTCAAATCGTGGCTGCTGTTGACCCCCTCTGCACAAAGTACAACTTTTTGTGGGTTGAATGAAAACCCCGCTGTTTCAACCCAAAAGTCAAAGCCGAAAGATCCGACCAAGTAGCAATCAAGCTTGTGGAATCTAACAGCACATAGCCAATATGGGTATGGGTCAAAATTGAAACACCAATTTAGGGTGGTAGTCCATGGTTGTATTTTGAAATGGGTACGTTGCTTTTGACCCACACTCATATAGATCCGTTCCAACTAGTCCGAAGAAGACCTGCTGGCAGCCTACAAGGGGCGGACGGGCATTTGATGGCCAGGTAGAGGGCGATGGTCCTCAGAGAGGTGAAAAGAACGACCCAACTCGGTGGCGCCCAAGAAAAGAACCGGCTTCACCAGCTGAGGCAAGGATTCTTGCATCTACCCGGTGAGGTTTAGGTGTACCCTTTAAAGGGACCACAAAAAAAAAAAAAACAAGTGGTGCTTAGTGGCCGCTTATCTTGGAAACACCCCATTTTGTGGGCCAAGATGGCACCGACTGTTCACCCGGACTTCTTAGGGCCACCTGAGGGCGTCCATGTTCTCGCCTGGTGGGTCAAGAAAAGTCCACGGCCGGGCATGTGCCCCTGGATGTGGTCAAACTTGAGAACATGTGGGTGAAACGCGCAAAGAACATGGGGGGAACAAACACTTTGTCGCAGACATGTCTGTACCCCCCCCCCCAATTTCTCTCGTGGGTGGTTCGTAGAGCAGCACAGCGCCAATTTCCAAACGAGCTGGGTAAGGTGATTGATCCCAACCGGTGTCTTGGGGCCTCCAAAGGTTTGCAGGGTCCCATTTGTCCTGTATCAGGAAGCCAGGGCTTGGTTGTTCAGTGACCCTGGAAAAAAAGGGAACCCTTTTTGGGGCTTGGACCATTTTTAGTGGGGCCACCAAAAAAGGGAAAAAGGGTGCCACTGAACAACTGAGAGGGGTTCAACTCATCCAAAACCACAAATTTTAGGGGTGCCTCACAAAAGGCAGGTCCACAAGCTGCACGCTGAATCCGCTTCCTTTGAGGGGGGGGGGGGGGGGGCAAAAATCCGTGGATTCCTCTCCTGGAATTCCCAGGGCGCCTCAAGAACCGCCGCCGGCTTGGGTTTCTGTCCGGGGCCCAGGCGCGATGACGAGGCAGAGGAACATGCCCCATTTGTAGAACCTGGCTTGCTCCGACTGGTAGGAGACCGTTTTTGGGCGGTGAGTCATTGCACCAGGGCTACCCCGATCTGTTTTCCGGCTTCGAATCAAACATCAAAAGGGAAAAGCGACATCCTTCTTTTTTTTGGGGGGGGGGGGTGTCCCCTGCAAATCGGCGTGCCCTCGGGTTCTGCTAAAGGAAACAAAAGGACACCAAACAGCTTCGTACTTCTTGTTGGGCTTTGGTTGGAGCGTTGTGAGCAACCCCATTGCGCGTCACACACGTGCGCACTGGCAGCCCGCGCTTTATGATGTCGCAGGCCATGGCACTAAGCTCACTAGAGGGGAGCGATTGGGGGGGATGCGGCTGCCGAGCTCAGACGTGCGGTCGCCTCGCCGGCTTTTCAGAAGAAAACGCGCCAACTTGTCTTGTTGGTGGCAACTCCTCCCGTCCGCGACTGTCCAACCACTTTCCTCGGAAAAGGGCCCCCAACTCGGGGCGCTTTTGGACAAAAGCCGGCGGGTGTTTGGGTCGAGCAGAGAGCAGCGGGAGGCAAGGTGCAGCACTTCCAAAAAAGCTGCCGAAAGGTAGGCGTTTCCTCACAAACGCGTCCTGAGGCGGGACGACTTATTTGCAGTTCAGCAATGGTTTGGTTCCCACCTAGAGACCGTAAAATTGTGTGGTTTTCAGGATTGCATCTTATATTGGTGTAAACAAGATGTCCGTTCAACCATTACGGCACACCCAGATGGCGGGAGCAGACCGATTCTTCCAAATGCGCGTGTTGCATCTTATCTTGAGTTCCGAGCAGTGAAGCCAAAGCCAAACCAGTTCTCCGTATCAGAGAATGATTCACCAATCACTGGCCTCATGATTTCGCCATGATCAAAGTCACCCCCTAAATGATAAATCAAAGGGAAACAACCTCATTTTCTGACTTTGACAACGCCTAGAAACACTCAAAATAATGACCCCAGAATCACGAGCAACGGGTGTGTCTGTGTGGAATTGTTTATCAAGTTCCCTTCTCACCTTGGTTCACAGGGAAACCAAAAGCACCAATTCCACCCTACTTTGGCACATGCCCACCAAAAACTGACCAGCAAACCTACATGAAGCCGGTCGCGCACCAAAACCCCCCAGTCGCAAGGCTCATTGGCGCGGGAAAGCCAGGTGGCCACCCCCAAAACTTGAATGCCCTGCACCCAGGTGTTTTTTTTATTTCTCCGGGCCTGCACCTATCACATCAGATTGCCCCAAAGGCCCCAATTCTTGTGTTTTGATAGGCTAACCCCCAAAAAAATAACCCGTTGGTCAGGGGCACCCCGCCTTTGCAAAACTTATGGGGCTCGGTGGCCAACGGGGCAGTTGGTATTCTGTGCCCCTTAAGGCTTACATACTCCACTTGCTCCCTGAAACGGCTGCATTCCTGATCTTTCAGGTTCCAAAAAGTCTGGAGTCGCTCGCTGCCTTTTTTCTTTTCACACAATTCCGCGCTGTCAGCTTCGCTCCCGGCACGCACAGTACCTCAGACGCCACATCCCCTTGCAGAATTGGTTCTCATTGGGTGTCAGCTTGGAACCCTACAATAGATGTTCTCGGTTGCTTTCCGCTCCCCTGCTAAAAGCTTGACTTTTAGTGGTTTAATGGAAAACCCATTAGTTGGCAAAAAGTAAAAGTCCTAACATCCAAGCAAAATGCACCAAAGTGTTGGGATTTCTACCCTCCATCAGATGTCAACAGCCGCTGTGGGTATCAACTCAACTTCGACATGTCCCTTTTGGAGGGGTTGTGGGGAAGCAGCTTTTTGTCCCCAGATTAAAATGGAACCTCAAAAACCCTCAAGCGGAAACTCCTTTTAGCGGACCCTAGGCTCCATGTTAGCTCACAGAGATGAACGGCCGAAAACATGCGCGTCAATCCAAGGAAGGATCTAAAGCAAACCATGCCTCTTGGATTCAAATCCTGTACACCGGAAGCATGTAGTGTGAAGGTGTTCGGAATTTGGTTGGATTTGTGTGTCATGGTTGTTGTCCTTTCGGTGCGGAAAAATGTTGGCTTCGAGGCTCCTGTAGCTCGCTGCAAGCGTTGGCATCCCTCTGCTTCGCCAAGTGTCCACCCTTGGTATGTGTCATCTTTTGACCGGAGACAGAAGAAGAAGAAGGAAAGTAAGAAGAATAAGAAGAAAAAGAAGGAAAAGGAAAAGAAGAAGAAGAAGAAGAGCAAACAATAGCGGAAGATCCTTGCTTGAGCAAATCGGCTAAGGCCAAACAAGGCTCCGGAGATGTCCGACTTTAAACCGAAACTTTCTAAAGGTGGCGCGTTAAACCACCAAAGTGGGAAACATGCAAACCCTGCCAAAGGAGCGAAGCTTGGCCCAATCCGGGTACGACAAAACACCTGTTTCAGCATGCCTACCTTAGACTCTGGTCCCTATTTTGTCTACCCTAAAACCAAAACTCGGTGAACATCTCCGCACTTCCTGAGTGGATTGACCAAAGAAAGTTCGGTCTGTTAGTTGCCGCAAAAATGGCCCAACCCCAAAAAGCAAGTCCTCTTCCCCGAAAGCGGTTTCGCGCATTTCCCTGTAAAAGGGACCCTCTGATAAGTATCATGTCAGTGGACTACCCCAGTAAAACACTTGTAAATGGATCGACCCCCAAAGGCAAGTAAGTCAGCCAGCCAGCCAACCAGCCAGCCAACCAACCAACGAACCAACAGCCAACCAACCAACCAACGAACCAACCAACCAACCAACAGCCTCGCCATTTCGCCCCGCCTCAGTCGAAGAAGGGCGCGTGCACCAGGCCGCTTTGCAGGCCCGCGTCGATGAACCCGGGCCGGAACATCATCTCCATCTGCCAGGCCTCTAAAGGCGGTAGCATTCCAACATGGACTCAACTCACTTCCCCAGTTCATGAACTTTAAACTTGGGTTTGGCATTTTCGTGGCAAATATCAAGCTTGGGAGTGTTTTAAGGCCATCCGCCATCCACTCAAGTGAGTCAAAGGTTTCCCCTGGTTCAGATGGCCATGGGTCAAAACCCAAAATTCCGTACCCCCAGTGAACATCCCAATCCAAGCACTAAAATAGGTTCTAACATGGGTGGTGAATTCACCAACCAACCAAAATGGGATCCCATTGGTTTTGACCCACAGCCACATGTCGCGTGGGCTACAAACCAAGCTGAAAGGGGTAGGGGGCTACAAGCTTTCTGCGCCCCCCCCCCCCAAAAAAAAGAAGCTCGGGCGATATTCCCAACAGCACCACACCCTCCCAGAACCCTCACGGAACGCCCCGGGACCATCCTTACCGCCGGTGTTGCTGAGGATGCCGCCTTGTAACTTTCTAAAAGCAAAGCTACGAGTGACAGCGCAAGCTCGCCCTGACCGGGGCCCGACGGCGCAATCGGGGCCCGATCGGGGCCCGACGGCGCAATCGGGGCCCGATCGGGGCCCGACGGTGCAATCGGGGCCCGATCGGGGCCCGACGGTGCAATCGGGCCCCGATCGGGGCCCGGCGGTGCAATCGGGGCCCGATCGTCCCTTGGTGCAACTCAACGCCGGTTTTCCTTAGCATGCGGATGACAACTGTATCTATAGCAAAACTAGGCGATGCCAGCTTGGTACAGCTGACGGGGCCCGACTGAGTCGGGCCCCGATCGGGGCGCGATGGGGCCGATCGGGCCCAAACGGTGCAATCGGACCTCGACAGTGCAATCGGGCCCCGACCTAGGCCCGGTGAACCTCGCAAGCCGTTCTCGTGCAACTTTCGTGGAGCTCAGCGTCTCGTGGAATTCTTGGAGCGCAAAACCCACCAAGCAGCAATGCCAAGCATTTACTCTGCTGCACCGTGAGCCCCGCAGCGACGTGATCTGATTTGCCACAAAGCCAACATTTGCCTGAGCAAGTGAGCAAGTCACAAAACAGTGAAAGTGTGCTAAAAACAATTGATTTCGGTTTTGCTTAGTGTTCCGCCCATGAGCAAAGCGATCTTGATCCGATGGCTTTTCAGACGACGGGCGCACGACACACTGCTTCCCTCCAGGACAAACCACGGAACCTTGCAGAACATTTCTGGAACCCTTGGTGGAACATCGTGGAGCCTTGTGGAACCCGTGTGGAATCCTTGCAGAACTTTGTGGAACCCTGTAACACTTTGAAACTCAGGGCCCACAGCCCTCGCAGAATCTCGTGAAACCCTGAAACCCTCACAGAACCTTACCTCAAACCACCCCAGACCACCCCGCAGCCCTCGCAGAACCTCGTGGAACCCTGCTAGAACCGTGCTGGAACCTTCATGGAACCTTACCTTGCAAAACCTCAAACCAGCCCGGACCGCTGGTGGAACCCTGGTGGAACCCTGGTGGAACCCTTGTGGAACCCTCGTGAAACCTTCCTCAACCCAGCCCGGACCACCCCGCAGCCCTTCAAGAAATTGGTGGAACCCTGGTGGAACCCTCGTCGAACCTTACCTCAAACCACCCCCAGAACCTGGTGGAACCCTGGTGGAAACCTCGCAGATGGTGGAACCCTGGTGGAACCCTGGTGGAACCCTGGTGGAACCTTAGCTCAGGGTCGCCCCGAACCACCCCGGAGCCTATCTGGGCTGAGACCCCAAAGCTTTCAGCTGTTGGGGAAAAAAAGAAATATCGGCTTTCCCGAAAAAGAAAGACTGGTCTCCTTTGCCCTTCAAGGCCAACCAACAAACATGGTAAACCCCTTAAAAGGTTGGAAGACTCATTTCAAATCATCGTGCTTTGCAGAGGGCGAAACCTGAAAAGGAAGCCACAAAATATCCATGTCCAGGGGGGGCATGCGCCACCACAAAAAATGGTAAACCCTATAGCCCCAACATCCCAGGTTTTGCGTACGGAGGAAACGGCAACACGGATCGACCGATCAACCCCTGTCTCGCTTCCGTGGATCGTTGTCTCAGTCGAAGATGGCGCTCTTCCGGGCCGGATCCAAGCAGAACCCCCGGCTGATTCTGATAGATGGGGGTGTCCCCGGGGAACACCCTCCGGTCAACATTAGCCCTTCCGAAAGGATAACCATTTCTGGGTTCAAGTCAACCCGGACCATCAAAAAATGGCCACCTCAACAAACAAGAAGAACATGTCTTCAGCTCCTCGAACCATGAGGATTCGGGGAAGTGGCGAAAGAACTGGAAGTGGTGGATCCTTGGTGACATGTGGAAATCCCCAATCTCCCTTGAGCCACAGCCAAAGCCCGACATTGAAGGTTGGCAAGGGGTAGCCCCAACCATTAAAGGTGCGGCCGCGCTTCTAATTCCGCGGGTTTGGGAATGAAGCAGTTTAGAAAGATGCGGGTTGCCTCTCGGGGCGTGCTAGCACCAGACAAGCTTGTCACATGTTGGAAATGAGGCACGGCACGGTTCCTAAAAGGACCCTGACTCCTTGCATGCTTTGTCTTGGTGCTGAAGGTATTTGGGTTTGTCTTAAAAGTCGGGAGCCCTCGCACTTGTGCTTTTTGTATTTACTGGCCCGGGCAGGCCTCCGCTGGCCGGTTGGTTTGCTCGCTGGCTGGCTGGCTGGCTGGCTGGCTGGCTGGCTGGCTGGCTGGCTGGCTGGCTGGCTGGCTGGTTGGTTTGTTGGCTGGCTGGCTGGCTGGCTGGCTGGCTGGTTGGTTTGCTGGCTGGCTGGCTGGCTGGCTGGCTGGCTGGCTGGCTGGCTGGCTGGCTGGCTGGCTGGCTGGCTGGCTGGCTGGCTGGCTGGCTGGCTGGCTGGCTGGCTGGCTGGCTGGCTGGCTGGCTGGCTGGTTGCTGGGTAGGTAGGTAGGTTGGTTGGTAGGTTGATTGGCAGGTAGGTTGCTTGGTAGGTAGGCAGGTTGCTTGGCAGGTAGCTTGCTTCGTTGGTTGGTGTGTGGCGTGTCTCTGTGTGTGTCTGTCTTCCCTTCTTTGAACCGGAAACCCAAAGGCCAGAACAACACCCCGCCTCCGTCTCGGGGAGCTGGTTCACACACACCGCCACCGGCGCGGAGCCCCAGACACGCACCGGGAAGTTGCACTCAGATCGGCATGCGGATCGAAGCGCTCGAGTCGAATGGAGCTGGTTCTTCAATTTTTACTTGGATTGCTTACGTTGTTCCCTAACCTACATCTGTTTCTGAAACCTCCCTTTGGTTTCTCCTTTGAATTTCTGGCACTCATTTTTGGTTGGGAGTACCCATAAGTCTAACCTTCATCTACCCTGGTGCTGATTGTGGCTCGTTTGGCTTTTGTTTGGTGTCCCTAGCCTTCTTAAACCAACATTTGTTGATTCCTATTTCAAGGATTGGCTTCATCATGCTTCATCTATTCATGGGAATCTGTTCAAAAGTAACTTCCTAGAAATCTGTAAGGGCTCCATCACCTATGGCGGATGCCCTAAAGAACCATGGTCATTTATGGTAAATTGGAGGGTTACCTTGTTCCCCAACTTGCAATACTAGGTCCTCCAGTAGAGAGGTTATAATAAGTTGGTACCAACTTTTTCTGTAGTCTATTTTAGGGGTGGAACCCTCCCAACCAAAAAAGGGGGTGGTCAAAGGGCACCCAGCTGGGGGGCCTAGAATATGTAGGGCATCCACACGGCGCCAACCCCCCTTTTGGGAGCTCGCTCCTTTGACCCGCTACTGTGGATGGACGAAATCCTGCACCACCTAAGAAACCCGGGGTTCAGATTCGATTCCCCTATAAATACCAACAAATACTGGCATCAGCCATGGTGTCAAAGTGGTGGGAAATGGATTTCGCAACCATCCACAGTATGGCAACTGACACAGGGCATTCCCCACAAAAAAACGGATCTTCCAGCTGCCAACCCCCCAAAAACCGCCTCCCCAAGAAACTCGCTCCTACCCGCCACCTGGATGGAGAGATTTCTCTGAGCGCCCCCACCACTTTGAACTGCGGGCCGAAGCCCATGCCTCGCGGCGGCATTTTTCCCCCGGCGCGCCCCACCCCCCCCGAGGGACTGAAACACTCCCGGGCCGCGCGATCCGAGCCGATCCCGTTTCGGGGAAACGATCCGAACCCCCCGGGGACGGTGGACTTGCTTTGTGTCCATATTGACGTGCGGTGTGCGTAGTGTTGTCATTTATTTGTGTCTGGTTCTATTTATTGTAGTCTTCCATTGAAAAAACAAGTTGATTTGTGTGTTTAGTGATTCATGGTTCGATTTAGTTGTTGATTGATTGAGTTATGCGTCTATGTGTTTGTCTATTGTATTGTTTCTTTATCTGGCTATTTATTGAGTGATTGAATCAACTTCTTTAGCCGGCTTGTTGGTTCTGTATGTGTTTCTGTATTGTTGATTTACTTGTTGATGTTGTTTCTCAACTAATCGATTTACTTGTTTGTGCATTTATCTACTGATCTATGTTGTGCCCTTTGTTTCTCTACTTATTTGCTTTCCTGTTTAAGTATTTGCTCTCTTTTTTTTCTCTGCGCACTTATCCATTCATTTGGTTATGTATACATACCATTTAATGTTGACCCCGGATTCATAAACCCCCGCTTATAATATGGGGGTGTTCGCCTCCAAAAGTGATAAATCCCCACTAAAACCAGGGACACCCCCTTATTAATCAACCAGGGGTTGATTCATCCGGGGATAACATTATTCATTTGGTTATGTATACAGATTGATTTCATATAGATAGGTAGATGGACATATCCCCGACTTGTTCCAGCCTGACATCCGATGCGCCAAGTAGAAGTCCAAGTGCCGCACTTCCTGTCGAAGCCGAGGCGAGAAGCCACCGCCCGAGGCTTCCCCGAAGCGTCGGGGGCCCCGTGGGCGTCGAGAACCCGAAACGTAGACGGCCGAGAACTCCCGAAAAAGACGAGGGGGATCCGTTGACGCATGCTTATTGGGAACCCACCTATCAAAGCAAAGAAGTCTTTGGTTGGTATTGAGAACCCCTGCTACCTGGATTTTGGGCGCCTTTCCCAAAGGCCCGCTCCTGGATTCGCTTCTTGCTTGCCCCAAGCTGGAAGGCTGTGGTTCGGTCTCAACCGGAAGGCTGGCATCAAGCGAAGCCCACCCTAGTCAGAGGCAAAAAAGAGGTGATGCGAATTTGGCAATGGGCCCCTTTGGCGGTCGAGGTATATCCACCAACCACTTTTGTGCGGCTTCCCCACAAAAACACCGCCACAGAATACTGGTCAAGACCACCACAAAGGGTGCCGGCTTTCCAGCGAGGCTATCTTCCGTGTCAGCTTGTTTATTGAATAAAACTGGGCGCCGGGCGGGCTATACCATCTTCCAAAATCGTACCTGGACCCTCGAACTATCCTATCAATTGGGATACTGCCCTCACATGATGAGTACTGTCCCAGTTTTAGGGTAATGTTGACCCCATATTAATCAACGCCAGTTGACTCATAGGGGGGAACACCCCTCCGAAAAATTGATAAACTGCTTGGTTGATTAAATCATGCATCGACCCCGCCTTGCCGTTCTGCTTCTGGGTGTAAGGCTTCTCCACGTCCCAGCCCAGCTCCTCCCTGAAGCGGATGTCCAACCACCAAGCTGGGTACGAGAAAATCGCGGGTCTGCAAACATGACGGCAAAAAAGGGCTGGCTGCTGGACACAAATCGCAAATGCCCTTTAAGGAAGGAAGCCAGCGACGCTTTGCTACTTGTATTACCCTCCCAACACAACGCGCCACTCCTTTCGGAAGACAATGTTCATGTTGGAAAGGAGTCCACGTCCGGAAACAAACCATTCTGATGCTGACCCCGTATTCAAGTAGAGCCTGGATTGAAGTGGAGACCGTATCAAGTCAAGGATGCCCTCAAAGAAAAGGTTGCACTCCAAACACAACCAGGCGTGTATTTTATCTTGGGTCAAAAGTGATCTAGCCTATAGAACAAACCGGGAGTATCTGGGGTTTGCCTGGGACACAACCCTCAAAAGATCGACAAGTTTCTCGAAAACTCCGGGGTCACTCGGGACCTTCTCACTCGCAAAGACCTGGAAACCAACGGTGCCCTACTTCTCCCCTAACAGCATCACGCCTATTGAGGGAAACGGTCTAAAGATTCACCAAATGGGGAAGCATCAAACGGGAACCCGAAGATAAGAAAGGTCAGCAGGTCCGCTTTGGACAACGGTAAAAGATGCAACCCAAGCACCTGGAAACGTGTTGAAAGTAACTGCTTACTCACCAACTCACGGCCAATCCCTTTCAAAATCATGGGGCAAATTCGCATGTGAATCCCCAAGTCAGCGATCTTCATCAGCTACATCCCGGGGTTTTCGCCCGGGATCCGTGAGCTGGGGAAATATGTTACCCCTTCACCGTCCCCAAACGGACCACGTACTGATTTAGAGCCGTAAGGGGCGCCAGTGCAGCCTAGTGACCATTGACTACCCTCCAGCACTCTTAGAGGTGGTCGTTTTGGGTCGTCCCCCAAAAGGATTGCTTTCGTCTTCCCACACCCCTCTGTCAGCTTCCAGTTTGGAAGGAGGACACCCTCCCTACAAACATAGCAGCTGTGGGAGGGTACCTGAAAGATCCGTTTTCCTCTTGGGGATGCCCTGTGTCAGTTGCCATACTGTGGATGGACGGAATCCTGCGCCACTTTGAAACCATTCGAAACCACCATTTGTTGGTATTTGCGAGGGAATCATCATTCCAGGCTTTCTTGGATGGTCCATCCACAGGAAGGCAGTGACTAGAGGCCACTCAGCGCAGACGCCCCAAAAACAACCCCAGGACCTTCCGCCCCCGCGCCTCAAGAACTTCACGGCCTCGGGGTCTCGGCTGATCAGCGGCACGATGTGATCCGCGATGTCCTGCGGCAAGGCACGGCCCAGCGCAGTGCCAAGTGGTCAAAACCCCCTGGACCTACAAGCTAAACCACGCGAAGGTTAGGCCGTCAGTGAGTGGAATGCCTGTTTATAGACCTTCATCCATGACCATAACCGTCGCCCTCCTCACATCATCATCACAATCACCATCATCATCATCATCGTCGTCATCGTCGTCATCATCGTCATCACCATCACCATCACCATCACCTTCACCGTCACCATCACCATCATCATCATCATCATCATCATCATCATCATCATCATCATCATCATCATCATCATCATCATCATAAACATCGTCATCATCGTCATCATCATGATCATCGTCATCATCACTGTCATCACCATCAGCACCATTATAACCATCAGCATCATCGTCATCAGCAGCAGCAGCATCATCATCATCATCATCATCGTCGTCGTCGTCGTCGTCATCGTCGTCATCGTGATCGTGATCGTGATCGTCATCGTCAGCATCATCAGCAGCATCAGCATGAGCATGAGCATGAGCATCAGCATGAGCATCAGCATCAGCAGCAGCAGCAGCAGCAGCAGCAGCAGCAGCAGCAGCAGCAGCAGCAGCAGCAGTAGCAGCAGCGCCACCACCACCGCCGTCGTCATCATCATCATGATGTTCATCATCGGTTCTTATGGGAAATAGAAACGGGCAACGACTTCAAAGCAGCACGGCATTCATCCTGGGATTTATCCTGACCCCCCCCCCCCCTGCCCATCTTGTTCAAGTATTGGGCAAAGCACACCATGGTCCTTCGGACCAAAACCCTGCCACGTATTCCAATCGCCAGACCCTGTCATGCCAAACCCTCCCAAACTTAGGGGCAACTACTGCCATCACCAAACGCAGGTGGGTGTGCCGTGATTTCTTGAGGGAACCCCTTTGTGGTTGCACCGTCTTGGTGGAGTCACTCAAATGGCTGTGACTCAAAAACATCTACCAAACTGGCACCTTGGTAAAAGAGAACCAAAGACTCTCACCTGCGTAACCCCAGCATAAAAAAAAAAAGAAAGAGCCACACCCACAGGAACCAAGGGGCTCAACACACGTGTTTCCCCCACGAAAGGGAAAAAAAGAAGAAGAAAAAACGAACCCGACCGACCCTGGCTCGTTTTTTGTGAGCCACACCCAAATGATCCAAGGGGGGACCACTTGGCCGAAGCCGCGCCTTGTTGGTGACAAGGCCCCCGAAGGAGTTGAGCCTCTGCTCCGCCTCCTGAAGCGAAGTGCTCTCGGCTCGTGTGGCTTTCGTGAAACCAAAATGTCTGTGTTCTTGTGGCGTACCTATTCTTGCAGGAAAAACTAAAGCAACATTTTGGGGGTGTTCTGGTGGTTGACCTGTATTTTGGGGGGAAATCATCCAAAACAAGTTTGGGGGATGCCAAGTGTGAAAGGGAGAGGCTCCCCGGTTTCTCTGCAAAGGAAGGAAAGAAACCCCGTTCCGCGGGGCTGCCCCGACAGGAGCTCCCCGGCCCAGAAGGACCTTCCGTGGCATGTAGTACCAATCCAAAGCCGGACAGCCAACATGCGACCTTTTTAAGCATAAGGGGTCCAAAACCGGGGAACAAACACCACAACCGCAGAAAAGAAGTGCCCTCCAAATGATTGGTTTGTGCCTGAAAAGCACCGTTCCCAGAGTATGTGAGGCACAGTCAAAATCTGTGGGTGGCTTCGCAGAGTTGGGTTGCTTCCGGTTGTCTGGCGAAAGCCATTTTTCGGGGGGTGTCGGATACTCCCGTAAATGAACGAAAGGAACCCAAAAGGGGTCCCAGCCCTGAAAATGTGGGTTCCTTCCGTTCAGACTGAAAAGCCTGTGTTTTGAGGCTTGGCTGTAAAGGGAGACTCCATCTGCTTGGCCCTTCTTCCACCAACAGGCTCTTCAGGTTGCCTGCGGGCCTTCCAAAGTCATCAGAGACAACAAAGGGTGGGGCTGGACACCTATGCTCAGAACCAATATGCCCTTCCTATGCTCAAAAGATATGTCGGACAGCTCTTGGTTTCCTACGGGGGAAATCCGCCGACCCCTTTGCAAAAGCCAAGTTAGTCTCTGCAAAGGGGCGAGGCGTGTTCTAAGTGGTGGTTAGGGGAGTCTGAGGGGGGGAGGGGGGGTCCCGCGGCGGATTTTTGACACGCCTAACCTCTAACTCTAACCTCTAACTCTAACCTCTAACCCTAACCTCTAACCCTAACCTCTAGCCCTAACCTCTAACCCTAACCTCTAACCCTAACCAACCTCTAACCCTAACCTCTAACCCTAACCTCTAACCCTAACCTCTAACCCTAACCTCTAACCCTAACCTCTAACCCTAACCTCTAACCCTAACCTCTAACCCTAACCTCTAACCCTAACCTCTAACCCTAACCTCTAACCCTAACCTCTAACCCTAACCTCTAACCCTAACCTCTAACCCTAACCTCTAACCCTAACCTCTAACCCTAACCTCTAACCCTAACCTCTAACCCTAACCTCTAACCCTAACCTCTAACCCTAACCTCTAACCCTAACCTCTAACCCTAACCTCTAACCCTAACCTCTAACCCTAACCTCTAACCCTAACCTCTAACCCTAACCTCTAACCCTAACCTCTAACCCTAACCTCTAACCCTGATGATGACGAAGTCGATAATGATGATGATTGATAATCATGATGATGATGATGATGGATGATGATGATGATGATGATGATGATGATGATGATGATGATGATGATGATGATGATGATGATGATGAATGATGATGATGATGATGGTGATGATGATGATGGTGGTGGTGATGATGTTGATGATGAATGATGATGATGATGATGACGATGATGATGATAACGATGATTATGATGATGATGATGATGATGGTGCTGATGATAATGATGATGATAATGATGATGCTGATGATGATGCCGATGATGATGATGATGATGATGATGATGATGGATGATCCTGATGATGATGCTGAGGATGCCGAGGATGATGAGGATGTGGTGATGATGACAATGATGATGATTGTGGTGATGGTGATCATGATGATGGATGATCATCATGATGCTGATGATGATGGATGATGATGATGATGATGATTATGATGATGATGATGATGGATGATAATGATGATAATGATCATGATGATGCACGATGATGATGATGATGATGGTGATGATGACGATGTTGATGATGGTGATGATGATGATGCTGATGATTATGATGATGATGGTGATGATGATGACGATGATGAGGATGATGATGGTGATGGATGATGATGATGATGATGATGATGATGATGATGATGATGATGATGATGATGATGATGATGATGATGATGATAATGATGATCATGATGACCGATGATGACGGATGATGACCGATGATGATGATGGATGATGATGGATGATGATGCTAATGATGATGATTGTGATGATGATGCCGATGATGATGAGGATGACGATGATGATGATGATGATTGATGATGATGATGATGATGATGATGACGATGATGATGATGGATTATGATGATGATGATGATGATGAAAATGATGATGATGATGATGGTGGTGATGATGGTGATCATGATGATGATGATCATCATGATGCTGATGATGATGGATGATGATGATGATGATGATGATGCTCCAACCTTAAGCTCTAACCCTAACCTCTAACCTTAACCTCTAACCCTAACCTCTAACCCTAACCTCTAACCCTAACCTCTAACCCTAACCTCTAACCCTAACCTCTAACCCTAACCTAACCTCTAACCTCTAACCCTAACCTCTAACCCTAACCTCTAACCCTAACCTCTAACCCTAACCTCTAACCCTAACCTCTAACCTCTAACCCTAACCTCTAACCCTAACCTCTAACCCTAACCTCTAACCCTAACCTCTAACCCTAACCTCTAACCCTAACCTCTAACCCTAACCTCTAACCCTAACCTCTAACCTCTAACCCTAACCTCTAACCCTAACCTCTAACCCTAACCTCTAACCCTAACCTCTAACCCTAACCTCTAACCCTAACCTCTAACCCTAACCTCTAACCCTAACCTCTAACCCTAACCTCTAACCCTAACCTCTAACCCTAACCTCTAACCTTAACCTCTAACTCTGATGATGACGAAGGCGATAATGATGATGATCATGATGATGATGATGATTATGGATGAATGATGATGATGATGATGATGATGCACGATGATGATGATGATGATGATTGTGGTGATGACGATGTTGATGATGGTGATGATGATGAAGCTGATGATTATGATGATGGCTGCTGAGGATGATGACGATGATGAGGATGATGATGGCGTGATGATGATGATGATGATGATGATGACCGATGATGACCGATGATGACCGATGATGATGATGGATGATGATGGATGATGATGCTGATGATGATGATTATGATGATGATGATGCCGATGATGATGACGATGATGACGATGACGATGATTATGATCATGATGATGGTGCTGATCATGATGATGATGATGATGGATGATGATGGTGATGATCACGATGATGCTGGTGAGAATGATGATGATGATGATGATGATGATGATGGTGCTGATGATGATGATGATGATGATGATGATGCTGATATTGATGACGATGATGATGATGCCGATGATGATGATGATGATGGATGATGATGATGATGATGATGACGATGATGATGATGGCGATGCTGATGATGATGATGCTGAAGGATGATGATGATGATGACGATGATGATGATGCTGATGATAATGATGATGATCATGATGACGATGATGATGGTGATGATGATGATGCTGATGATGAGGATGATGATGAGGATGATGACGGCGATGATGATGATGATGGATGATGATGATGATGATGATGAATGGTGATGATGATGATGATGATTATAATGATGATGATGATGATGGCGATAATGATGCCGATGATGATGATGGATGATGAGGATGATGATGATGATGATGATGATGATGATGATGATGGTGCTGATGATAATGATGATGATAATGATGATGCTGATGATGATGCCGATGATGATGATGATGATGATGATGATGGCGATGATAATGATGATGATGGTGGTGATGGATGATGTGGATAATGATGATGATAAGGATGATGATGATGATAAGGATGATGAATGATGACATGATGATGATGATGACGACGATGATGATGATCATGATGATGCCGAGGATGATGATGATGATGATGATGATGATCATGCTCTAACCTTAACCTCTAACCCTAACCTCTAACCCTAACCTCTTTCCCTAACCTCTAACCCTACCCTCCTCTAACCCTAACCTCTGGTGGATGATGATGATGATGATGACGATGATGATGATGATGCCGATGATGATGATGATGATGATGATGACGATGATGATGATGACGATGACGATGATGATGGTGGTGATCACGATGATGCTGGTGAGAATGATGATGATGATGGTGATGATGACGATGTTGATGATGATACTCATGCTGATAATGATGATGATGATGATGATGATGATGATATTCATGATGACGATGATGATGATCATAATGATGATGATGATGATGATGATGACGATGATGATGATGAATGGTGATGATGATGATGATGACAATGATGATGATCATAATTCATAATGATGATGATGATGATGATGATGATGATGTTCATGATGAATGATGAGGACGATGATGATGATGATGATGATATGATGATGATGATGATGATGATGATGATGATGATGATGATGATGATGATGATGATGATGATGATGATGATGATGATGATGATGATGGTCATGATGATGATGGGGATGATGCCGATGATGATGATGATGGATGATGATGATGGATGATGATGATGGATGATGATGATGATGATGATGATGATGATGATGATGATGATGATGTTGATGCCGATGAATGATGATGCTGATGGTGATGATGCATGGCGAGGATGATGCTGATGAGGATGATGATGAGGATGATGATGACACTGATGATGACACTGATGATGATGATGATGATGATGATGATTCTTTCGTTGCCTATCTTATCTGGACACTTGTTTTAATGTTGGGTGATCTTCATTCGAGTACTCTTTTCTTTGATCCAAGATTTCGAGGAGATCCAGTCCATCTTTTATTACACGTTAGAGTTACTTCTGTCTTCTTCTTTCTTCTCTTTTTGCGAATCTGGCCAATTAATAATAATAATCATCATCATAATGTTTACCTCGTACCTCGAATTCTTAAAACAACATTTAACACAACATCAACAATAAAAGCACATTGGGGGTCGGCGGCATCAGGCGTCAGCCTGCTTAATAAGGCCTTCAGCCGAAGTCAGCCATTCCATCCCCAGCTTCTATCCCACGGATCTGCCGTTCCCAACTCGAAGAGCAACTGCAGACGAATATGGATCCCAACAGACAGCTCTTCCAAAACACTGACCTTTGGGCTGGTGGAAAGAAGTGTCTTTGCACAGTCAGTTCCAGGCTGGCAAAGTGCGGCTAAAGTGCCAAAGAAAAGCCAAGCACTTTGACCCTTGAAAGGCGACCAAGCAAAAAAAGCAGCTATGTGTGTGTGTGTGTGTGTCAAAATAAGGGGGCCCGGACAAATGATGGTTTCCGGTTCAGGGCCAATCACGCTCCTCGATCGCAAAAAAAACAACTCGGCCCTGAAAACTATAGGAAGCAAGAACCGGTTAACATACCCAACCAATAGGTACAGTTAGCACACGTGTGGAGATGTTTCCACCCGGACAAGGGCCACAATTGGGTTTCCATTCATAGGTGTCCTTTTTGAGAAAATAGATGGCCCTGGTAGTTGATTGAACCACCAGGTTTCAACCAAGTCAACCAAAAAGGAGACCTATGTTTCCATTGGTTGTTGCTCACTATACAGAAAAAACAAGCCAATCTTCTACTCCTCGGCTGTCAAGGAGCCAAAAAACACTATTTTACCATGCGTGTTCTGTGATCACAGTACACAACCCCCTGTTACAGGGGGGTCTTTTTGCCACCTCTTGTGAGAAAATGGGTGACACCCTCAAAGAGGGATCCTTCACTACAAGGGGGTCGATCATTTTTCCACCAATGGTGGCAAAAGACTCCCCTGCCCCCGTTCTAATCTACCAGGCCCAAACAGACCCCAAAAGAGTTTTCCGGCTTCCCCTTTTGCCCAAGAATCAAGAAGGGTACCCCCAACTAACGGCCAATTGGGTGTGGTTGTCAAAAATAGTTGGCAACCGAAAAATGGGTTGCCCGATCGGTAAATGGAGGGGACTAAAACCTACGGTCCCCTAGACCCATCGGCTTTGCTCTCGACCTATACGGCCAAAAAAGCCGACCTGGATTGCCAGTGGCTTTTTTCCCCATGCACTTTACCTCAAAAACCAGCAACAGTGACTGAAAAAGCGATCGCAACTTGGCTATCTAGGGAGTACCCATATCCCGGTGGTGTAAGTTACGACCCATACTGTGGATGCACGAAATCCATTTCGCACCACTTTGAAACCATGGTTGAAACCATTGTTTGTTTGGTATTTACGGGGGGAATCTTCAGAAACCAGGCTTTCTCAGGTGGTGCATAATGGATTTCGCAACCATCCACAGTACCACCAAACTGGCTACAAAAATCTCAAAGGCTAAGGATCCGGATGGCCGGGCTTGCCACAAGTACGGCCAACAAGGGCCGCAACTAGGCCACCCCTTTGGCTCGTGCAAGCTCCACGGCTTCCCGCCTTGGCCGCGGCGCCGTCCCGCTGCTTCACCGCGGCGACCAGGGTCTGGGGGCCAGCCAAAAGGCGAGCGGCTTTGCGACAGCAAATCGAGTATCGAGAAAAGAAAAAAAAAAAAAAACAATATATGAACAATATATAAACAATATGTGGTTGCATCGATCCGGATGGTTGTGAAAAAACAATATATGTATATATGAGCGGGGATCGATCTGCATCGGTGCAGCGAGTCATGTATGTTGTTGGATGGTTGCGAGTCATCCGGAAATCGCGCCGCCGTTCACAAACCCGTGGGTTCTGACGATGCATGCCCCAACCGAAATACTAACGAACCATGGGTTTCAACCAGGGTTTCATTTCGTGGTGCGTCCACATGGAAGATGCTATCCACCCGGAAAGCTTGGAACGAGCAAATTGACGAACCCCACTTCCACCCTCAAACTTGGGATATTGCCCATAGTTGTCGGCTCCTCGTTTCGAAGGGCCTGGTGGAATGTTCACGCCCTTCTGTTCATTGAATTCCTGTAAACGTGGGACCCGGCGATCTGCACTTTAGGGATCCCTTTGTTGTTTGGGCCAGGGAGTAAAAGCCAAACGGAACCTGTCCTTGAGAGTTCCCATTTTGAAGTTGAGTGAGAGAATCTCCAATATTGACCAAACCAGCCCTGTTTCTGTATTACATGCCAAACAAAAAAGCACTGACTTTTTTTTGGGGGTGGGATTGGTTTCTTTGCTGCTTGCTGAAATCGGGCAATCGGGAAGTGGGAAGGCATCCTCCAGCAGAAATGCTGCACTTGCAGGCGGGTAGCGATTGAACAAAATGCGTTACCTCGTTCCCGGTGATGGTGACCCCCTGTTTATTAATATGGGGGTGTCCCCAGGTAAGTAGGGTTTTTATCATTTTTTGAGGGAAACACACCCTTATTCATAAACAGGGGGTTTATGAATCCGGGGGGTCACCATTACCCAAACCGACTTGTGATTCCAAGCCCAAAACGGTTGAAGATGTGCTCCGTCGCTCGCTTCCCTTCAAACCTTTAGATGGTTGCCCTGAGGAAACGCACTTCAGCCTAAAGGATTCAGACAGCAGAATCAGGTCGGGCGCGCTTATCCCCATGATCTGTTCCCCTGCTTCCTTCCAAACAACGAACAGCTATGAACTGAATTCTGAAAACTTTCAAAAATGCACCACACTCACAGGCTGCGTTTCCTTCGCATTTTTGAGTTGGGCCCCCAACCCCCGGAGGAAATGGATTCCGACGCCCGATTTCGGCGTCCATGGGGCGTTTTTGGTACAGCCATTCGACTCAAGGAAGTCCCCCCACAACATAAGAAACCACACCCGAATGACTGGTTTCTCGTCACTCCTGTCGGCTTCCCTGCCACGAAGGGCACCCACAAAAGGAGCCCAACATGAAACTCGAGCGAGATGTGCAGAAACCAACTGGGACCCCCTTATGTTGGGTCCGAAATATTTGGGTCCACTCATGAGTAGATGGTGCGATATTTGGTGGACCACCAAACTCTGAAAGAGGACCCACATCACGGGGTCGCTGGAGATCCCCGCTTTAGGGACACATCCCCTGCTGGTTCTCAGGAATGAACAGGAAGGGAAGCCATTGAAGGATGCCAGTTCAATTCGAGGATTCAGTTTGGGGCTCCAACTTGAACCAGAAAATTAAAAAAAAAAAACAATCATCACTGTGGCGTCTCAAGAGAACCTCCGAACCTTCAGCTCCTTCCAATTGCCGCCAGGTTCGCTTTTTGGTGGTTTTTGGGTGGTTTCTCCCCAAGAACCAAACCCACGGTGTCCATCGTTGCCATAGGTGACCTTTTGGAAAAATAGATGGGTTTCCTGGTACATGTGGCATAAAACCAATCTAAACCAGTGCACCCATCTATTTCTCAGAAAATCTAACCCATCAAAAGCACACCTATGCTCACAATCCGAACCATCCAAGCTAACAAGTAAGGGTCACTTGAGGTGTCCCATGTTCATTAAACATATTAACCAACAAAGGTCAACGGCTTCTCATTGTGCCATTCTGACATGAGATGTCAAAAGGACATGCGATCTAGACGAAATACGAATCAAGACAATTCAAGTAAAGAGTATGCCCAAAAGTGCTATGGCGGCACCGGAAGCTTCACTCGCACAACCTGTTTTGCCTTGAGCCAAAATGTACAAGTCATCCAAGGCGAACTGACTGTTTCTCATCAGTGTCAACCCTGGAAACTTGATTCAAAGGAAAGTTCAAGCAAACATGAATTCCGGGGGCAAGGTTGAATTAGACATGCATGCACCACCTACCATCAGGAAAATGTGGATTCCAGCAGGGGGCATTCTTCTCCCCCTTCTCACACTCGGAAAGTGTCCTACGCAGACTCCAGTTTAGTTATTTAACTATCTGGCCTACGCCTACGGGTCTCGGAGCGTTTCCGCTTCACGAGATGGCACTTTGCAAGTTGAGCTTAAGGATGCCATGTTAAGTAGGTCTAGTGCATGGTCCCACTTGCACACCGGCAATGGTTTTGTAAACACATCTGCTCTCTGCTTGTCCGTTGCTATGTACAGGAGTTTGCAACTTGGATCTTCGAAGACCTCATAAGCTGAACCTAGTTCGATCTTCTCCGTCTTCGTGAGGTGTCGCAATTTGGGGCTATAACCTGCAGCCACGATCTGGATTACAGCTGAGTTGTCCTGAAAGCACTCTAGCGTGACCTGACGGTCCAAGATCAATTCCAGGAAGCCTTGTGCTGGCAATGCTTCGCCAAAAAGGCCTGATCCTAGTGAGATCATCTCTGCTGCTGTTGTGCTCCTGGCAGTCGCGGTTTGGCGTTTACTGCCCCACGCGATTGGCCACAAGGTGTTAGGGCCCTCAATGGACAAGAACATGCCACTCGTGCTTCTTGTGTGTTCGATGCCACTACAGTGGTCCGCATCTGTGTACAAGCACAGCTTGAGCAGCTCTGGCGGGTCGCCTATATGTCCTTGTAAAGTATACCCTTTTGACCCATACAGGTAGCACATTAGCCTATGGAGCCGTTTATCATCTGCTCGGCTCCATAGGGTAATCCTACGTGTCAAATCCCCTATCCCTTTCATTAGGTCGGGTCGGCTTAGCCTAGCGCACCAGAGGATTTTCATCAAGATTTTGCATGCAGAAGTTGCCAAAACCCCTTTACTTTCAAAGTCAGCGGTTGTAAGGCTACCTTCTGGGCAGAAAGGACTTTTAGCTGTGCTCAACTTACATTGAGCCAAGTCCTCATACACTGCACATGCATTCTCGATGAAGTCGAACATTTCGAGCGAAACCTTGGTCGATCCATTGGTCCGGTCGAATTTATGCTGTCTGCCCAGCACACGTTCAACTTGAGTTGGAGGTTCGATCTCCAAATGCTTTTCGATTTCCTGCCAAAACTTGTTTTGTTCTGACGACGGCCCTGAGCACAGAATGTCGTCGACGTAGCAGGTTACAAGAAGCTTCCTTTGTGGAAACCAAAATGAAGATGGAAATTCATCAACATGTTGACCTTCCAAAAGTTTCATCACTTCCCTTAGCCTTTGATCCCAATGGTATCCTGATTCGGGATGGCCATAAAGGCTCCTGACCAACCTCACACACGGCTGTTTGAAGTGCCGGTATTCTGGAGGAGTCAATTCCCAAGGCAAGATCACCCATGTGGGCACCTTTGTCCCAAGGTACGCTTGGGTGTAGGCTTTTACTACGTCTGATTGACGAGTTTCGTGACCCTTGATGGCGCCGTATGCTAGATTGATGTTGACACCTGTCATTCCGGTCGGAGTGACTTTTGCTTCTTGGAGCACCGCAAGATTGTTGTCTTCCGTGAGGATGTGATCCCCTCGGAAAACTATCCTGGCCTTGAGTTTACGGAGTTCTGGGGTTTCCCAATGCTTTATCGACAAGATGGTCATTAGAGAAGCAATGTTGATATGCTCCTTGTTCCTTTTACATCTTGCCAAAAGGTCCTCTTTTGAGATTACCTCATCGAAAGTCCAGGTTCCGTTAGCTACTAGCCCATTCACTTCATTGTCAATGGCGTCTTGCGCTCCAGGAAAGTTACCCCATTCTTTCCTCTCCAACAACTTGTGGATGCCAGCAAACACATGTTCTACTCCTGGCAGCTCCTGATGACCTGCCTCGTTCTCCGGGGCGTGGTCGCCACACAGGAACTCTTGCACGGAGTTTGGCCCAGCTGACACTTGCACAGGCATTGCAGGCGGTGCGTCAATCCAGGGATACAAGGACTGAGAAATGCACCTCGCCATAGGCATCGGGTAAAAGGCACTTCTAGGTGTCTTACTGCCTGCAAGAGGTGAATGCTTATAGTCACGCGGATGTTGGCACTTGGCACTGTCTAGGTTTTTAGCCAACCTCCATGAAGAGGTTATAACTCTCCACGTCTTGAGGTGACATTTACCTTCTTGGTCACAGAGTCCAAATGCACAACCTTGAGGTTCCGCCACGAACAAGTCATGCCTCTTGACAAACCTGATCAGCTCTGGCAAGTCCCATCCGGCACATGTCTTCGGCCACTCGAAGGCAACGTGGCCCCCTTGACTGAGGACTTTGTCTGCACAACGAATGTAGTTTGCTAAAATTTTTCTAGAATGCTTGCGCATTTTCTTGAGTTTCTTAGCAAACGGTTTTCCGTATTGATGGAGATTTACATTCTGCCATTGCGACCAGGGGCCGCAAGGAATCGATCCCCACAAATCACACCCGGGAAATTGTTCTATGACCTTCAAAAGACTGTCATTTTCCCACTGGCTTGACATGTCAGAGTTCTTTGTTGTGAGTCGGAAATGGTTGATTCCTCTTTCTTCGTTGATCTGACCCAACGTTGAGTTCTCATCGCAACAAAACTCAAAGAGTGTCGGATTCGCCGATCGACCTTTGCGGTCTTCACGTGCAGGCTTGACCAAGTCCTTAGTGAGTTCAAGGATTTCTCTGGCCTTCCTAGTTCGTGCTTGGCTGTCACCGGCTTGCTCGATGAACCTTTTTATAGCTCTGAGATTACCGTCT